CAACCCAAGAAGGCGAGGAAGAAGGAGAAGACACTTCCCCAGAACGCACGCATGTGTGGATTCTGCTGAACAGTGCCGCAAATGCGGAGCAGTGGCAACTCCGCTGCCTTGTTGGATTCATCCACCTTCAACTTGAAGTCCGCCATGCTTACGAGTTCCCACAGGGAGTTCTACCTGAGCCTGCAAGTGCTGTAAAGACGTCATATAAGTCATAAGATGCCATCCGGATCGACATGAAATCAACTGAGGTAGCTGAAGACCCAATCGGAAGTCTCCTGAGGCGATAGCACTGGGGCCCCTGCTGGCTCTCTCCTCGGGTCCTGGCCGTCAGTTCGCAACATCCCCCAAAGCGTCCTAAGGAGCTAGCTATATAGGGGATACTTGGAGAAACCATCATACTAACTTTATAGGGTTCATATAGGGGCGTAGAGTTTAGGGATTATAAGGGTTTATGGGGCGGTAGTGTCTATAGAGGGGCTTTGGGTTTAGGTTTAGGTTTATGGAGGGGTAGGGTTTATATAGGGGCTGAGGGTTTAGGGTTTAGTGCCCCGCCTGGGCGAGCCAGGAAGTATCCGGCGTCTTGCGGCGGAGGCGCCGCCGGATAACCGGTGCCTACGGTTGGCTTCTATTTCTAACGGTTGTGCTGCGATTACACAGTAACTCTCCGGGCTAGTCTTGGCCACTAAGTTCGAGTGTTGAGATCCATCTAAGGCTCCATTTAACAATCGAGTTTATGGACTCTGTGTGGGGCTTGCGTGGCAGTTGACCAATACGGTGGCTGTGGTATGTGCATGGGAGCATAATATAGGGGCTTAAATAATTACTTATACTATTTTGGGGGGTTCCCTATCCTAACTATAGTACAATGGGCATCAAAACCCTATTCCAATCATTAAGACCCCTCGAATACACTTCGTGTAGGAGCGGTGCTTGACGCCACGCCGTCTTTTGGGGCTCGACAGCGCAAGAATCCGAGGACCCGAGACCTTCGCTTACCCTACAGGATACTCAAAAGCTGATACCCTTAAACCCCAAACCCCATACCCAAACCAAAAACCCCATACCCTAAACCCTTAACCCTAAACCCTAAACCCTATACCCCATACCCTAAACCCTAAACCCTAAACCCTAAACCCTAAACCCTATACCTCTACCCTGTCGGTGTTTTCAATGTGGGTTTCAGCATCAGGGAATCAGGGGTCGCCGGGCGACAGACTTGGCGGCCTCGAGGTCGAACCTACCTCAAAGACACCTTCCAGTGTATTATAATTATAGGGTTTAGGGTTTAGGGTTTAGGGTTTAGGGTTTAGGGTTTAGGGTTTAGGGTTTAAAGATGCTATAGTATGTCTAGTAACTATATAGCCTATTATTGTATGATATAGTATATTATGGTATATCATCGTAATTGTGGTGCAGAGTAGTTTGGGGTACCCGCTGCGGACGTTTGCAAGTGGAGTCCAACATAACGGCATGCGCCGTTCGTGGAATCGGGTCGAAGAGCTCTGCGCTAGTGCTCAAGGTGCACTCGATCGTGTGGACTTTCTGACTACAGAATGTAAAATGCATTCTGTGTCGAGATAACGCAACGACTCCTAGGCAACTTTGCTCCAATAATATCACCAAGTCGTCCATATCCCAGAAGAGTTGGCTGACCCATGCGCTGCCGGAAACGCCACCTTGATTTGGAGGGTTCCGGCAACATTCTATGACACTGGCGAAATTTTTCCGCCAGTATACGAGCAGCTTTTCGGCAGGAAACCGCAACCACGGAACTGTTGAAGTCTCAAAAGAATCCACCTCGCTGACAATCGGTTCAGATGTTCTGAAGAGTCTGCTGCCTCTACCTCGAGCAGCTGAACATAGCTGCACATAGCACCCACTCACCTGCATCTGCATTTATCCACCAACACCCTGTATACCCGAACCTAAAACTCCGAACCCTACGACGCACCAGGAACCGTTTGGCAGCCTTGTCGATGAGTACAGCGGCATCCTTCTGGCCGACAGTCGGCTCCTTGCGAGTACCCAGAAGGTACAGACTCTAGGTGGCTTCAAGCTATATCAGTGAGTCTACAAAGCTTCTAGCTGAAGGAAATAAGGGGCAAATTTTGGGTGGAAGATCTCATTAAGGTGGAAAGGCCTTGATATCCTCGCCCCTGAATCTAAACCCGAACCCGATACCCTGAGAATTTCTACGGCCTGGATGCCGTCAACAAAGGGAACAATGTAACCAACAAGGCCGCAAATAGTAAAGTCTGTGGGTCTATGGCCCTAAAGCCTAACCCCAAAGCCTAAATTCTAGCTCACATACCCGCAGTTAGGGTTTACCCAAAGGCTCCATAGTAGTTCCTTGTTGGGATTACCTGATAGGATCCTAAATATGAACACGGAAAGGAACCATAATGGAGCCTATGGGTAGTTCGGGTTTGGGGTTTAGGCATACGGGCCTTAGCAAAGCGTAATTGGGTGGGTCCTGCTCTAAACCCTAAACCCTAAACCCTAAACCCTAAACCCTAAGTCCCTGTCACCGGTCCAACTGTTTCGGCCCCAGCCTTCGGACCCAGACGCATCGATCTCTTGTGCTCAAGTTGGGAGCTAGGATTACGGTTTAGGGTTTAGGGTTTAGGGTTTAGGGTTTAGGGTTTAGGGTTTAGGGTTTAGGATTAGGGGGACCCTTGGGGATATAGACCCTCTCAATAAGGTCCCTTTTAAGAGGGCCAGAAGTAGGGTTCAGAAGGGTTACCCTTTAAGGAGTACCCCTAATAAGACTACCTACAAGTTGAATTCAGAGAGGCCTTGCTAAATAGACTCGGGTTCTGCGGTATATTCAACTATCCCTAAACCCTAAAGCCCTATAGATCTGAAGGCACCAGGCAGCAACCATATCTTATAGGCAATAAACCCTGAACCCTAAACCCTAAACCAAAATCCTAAACCCTAAACCCTAAACCCTATACCCCAAATCGTAAAGTCCAGGTCAGAAACCTGAGCCCCAAAACCGAAGAGGTCCTGTGGCTCTGTCCGTGGACGCACGTTCCGTTCGTCCGCATGCTCCTCTTCAGATGCTGTTTGGGGTTTCGGGGCGTAGGATTTGGGTTAGGGTTTAGGCTTAGGGTTTAGGGGTTTAGGGTTTAAGGTTTAGGGTTTAGGGCTTGGGGTTTAGGGTTTAGGGTTTTAAAGGGTGTGATTTCGGATTCGGGCCTTCTGCAAGCCTTGCAGTGCTACAACATGCCCCTGCTTCGTTTTCTAAACAGCCCAGGCATAGAGTGGCAAAGAGAGGTTACACAGAAACAGTTCAGGGAGTCGGCACGGACGCCCGGCCAAAGTATCTGAGCATCGGCAATACCTCAACCCAACCCGCAAATCCCAAATCCTGGTTCGCTCCACCCCAGATTCCTAAAGCTGAAAACCTTAAACCCTACACCCTAAACCCTAAACCCTAAACCCTCCTTTAAAGGCTGCATCCTGGAAGACCTGGTGCCCGAGACCATGAGAACTGCAAACCCTCAACCCCATAATCCCTAAACCCGAAACCCTAAACCCTATTCCCTGAACTCTAAATTAGGGTTTAGGGTTTAGGGCTACACTAAACCGAAATCCCTAAACCCAACTCCCTTAAACCCTCGGACACGAAAGGCTAAGCTGGCCTCTTCCATCGGACGCTTGCCACGTTGCGGAGACGCCATCGACGGCGCTACACGGCTGAGCCGGACCGTGAAGGAGTACCTTGGGGTTTTCGGGTTTAGGGTTTAGGGTTCGGGATTCAGGGCTTATAGGGCTTAGGGCTTTTGGGTTTAGGGTTCAAGGGTTTTCGGTCTTCGGGCTTTTGGCCTATGTTTGGTGTCAGTCATAGCATCGATCTCTTTTGCTCGGGACTTAAGAACTGCAGGCATGGGGTTTAGGGATTACGAGTAGGGCTTAGGGTTTAGGGGTTTAGGGTTTAGGGTTTAGGGGTTTAGGGTTTAGGGGTTTAGGGTTTAGGGTTTAGGGTTTAGGGCTTAGGGTACTGCACAACATTTTAGCCGGAATGGTGCGGCAGGTGTGGTTGTGGCCCCAGGCGTTCACAGGGGATCTCGACGAAATACACTATTAAATACTGTGGTCGCTTGGATGGCTACTTGGGGCGAGGTGGTCCTCAGAGGTAAATGATAGATTCAGGAAAGAACAGAAACCAGATGTAGCAAAACCTAAATCCAGAAGAACGACTTCACAGCAAATAACATGGATCACTGAATGGCTAGTGCTCTAAGTTGAAGTCCCTTTTTTAAGTCCCCAGATTGGTACCGGACATTCATATAAAAAAGACCCTGAGAAGGGACCCTAAGTTAGAGCACTACCCATGTAGAACCCTTAGAGTACGCTTATAGACACCCTATGGAAACCCTTCTAAATCCCTTTGAGGAACCCTCAAGAGGGACCCAAGCCTTTACTTCCCCAATAAGCCAGGAAAGTAAAAGGTTAAACTTTCAGATTACTACGAAGCTATAAAAGCCCAAAAAGTTTAAAGGTTGGGCCTTGGAGAACTAAGTAACCTAGAGAACTACCCTTATACTACCCTTATAAGCACCATTTAGAAACCCTTATAGATCCCTTTGAGGAAACCTGAAAAGGGACCCTAACTTAGAGAACTACCCACATCCTTGACCGGGTCCTGGTTCTGCAAGCAGGAAAGCCTCGTCCCTAAGGTTAGAAGTAGTGAGCCCCTAGTATGGAAGCCTTTCTAGGGACCCTTAAGGGTACATATAGCCCACATAGCAGGTGGTTTCAGCCTGAGATCGACTTCGGGTGCGGGGTTTCCTATGTCTCCTCGACCCTTTTTAGGGGCTGAGGGGGTTTAGGGGTTTAGGGTTTAGGGCTTAGGGGTCTACGGGCAGTCGCTTCCTTACTGCAAGTGCCCCTATTCAAACGAACTACGTACTCATGTTGCTTTCAGGTTGCCCGTCGCGGGCTGCCAACGAAATCGCGTCACCACCACCTAGTCTTCGCAGGAAGAGCGATCGAAGGCTTGTTCCTTCATGTAGTGTCGAGCTTTGGGACGCGTAGGCAGAGCCATTCGTGCTTGGTCAAGCTTGTCTGATTATCCTTTGGTGTCGGCTTCATGTCTGCTTGAATAAGCAGATCCCAACGCCGGGGATCTGAAAAACGGGCGGTGATGTACGAAGGAATAGGATGACTGATAGCTCCAGTTGCAATGGCGCCCATCTTGGCCCTGCAATCACCTGAAAGGAATCCTGCATCCAACCCTGAACCCTGAACCCTAAACACTAAACCCTGAACCCTAAATCGCGGAATTCGACTTCTTTCGGTTCGATAGTCAGTACATCCTCCCTCACATCACTCAAATGATCCCAAATATCAAGCCCCCACGTCAGCCCTATTATAAAGGCCCCTTCAAAGACTCCCTCAACCTCAAAAAAGGCCCTAAACTTCAATGCTAAACCCGAAAAAAGAGGCATGAGACCCTACCTACAGTCTTCATTGAAGTCCTTTTTTGGCTTAATTAACCGTGGTTGTCAAAATTATGGTCCCTTTTTGGGTCCTTATTATAATACGGCACCTATTATTTAGGGTACCCCAAAAGGGACCATCATTTTGACAACTACCCATATTAAGGATCCTAAAGGGTAATCCGAAAAGGAACTACACTGGAGACTGTAGGTGAAGTTACTTGGGGGTTTCCGAAAATAGGGGACCCCAATATAGTACCCTAAGTAGTAGGATCCTTATTATAAGGACCCCAGAATAAGGTACCCCCTATTTTCGGAAACCCCCACTTCGATCTTCCAAACTGAGGCGGCGGGCTGAGTCCCAGCTCACTCCCGCTCTGGATGTGGATGCCATTCACCAATGTGCCTCTTCAGGGTTCCCCTAAACCCCAAACCCTACACCCTAAACTCTAAACCCTACATGACCCCTAAACCCTACACCCTCAAGAGTCGTTCGGGTTGAGGGTTCAGGATTTTGGGTCTGGGGCTTAAGGGTCTAGGATTCCGAGTTTAGGGTTTAGGGTTTAAGGTTCTAGGATTCAGGGTTTTAAGGTCTGGGGCTCTTACGGCCGAGAAGCAGGTAGCGGGCTTCTTGACGGGGTTGTGCTTGGGATATGCGATGTAGGAACGGCACTCTGATCTTCGGGCTTGGGATGCAGACGCATTGAAACCACGTTAAAACAGACCGAGGTTCACCGTGAAAGAGTTCTTGCTGCATCTTGTCGTTGTAGCTTATATTGCGTCTGCGTAACCTACTTCCTGTCCTGGTTACAACACAGGCTAGTTCAAAGACGTGCCGAGCCGCCATTGGAGCTGCCGAGATCACGGAGGACAAGGGACTCCTGGACAAGCATACTGCTGGGCCAGGGTTTAGGGTTTCGGGTTTAGGAAGTAATTAGGACAGGGTTTCGATATAACAGGCTCTCCAAGGGTGACTGCAACGGTTATTATACGCGTTGAGAACAGGAGTCCAGAAGACTCGTAGGTGGGGGGAGGTAGAGGCTCCCATCATGTAATCATACTACTCATCCCCGACGCCAAGACGCTGGTACTGGGATGCACTGGGGATTGGAAGACTGATAGCAACAGGTCATACTCACAGAAATAGCAATAGTACCGGTAAGTGTGCTCATGCCCGAAAGGAATACATGATACTGCACATGATACTGCAAGAATGCAAAACACGCTTCTCGTCGTCTTCTTCATCGTCATCATTTCACTGCCCTCCTGCTTCTCCCGGCTATCCGCCTCACCACCATCACCACGACTACTACTGCTACGACTACTACAACGACTGCGACTACTGCGGCTACTCTGACTGCTACGGCTACTATGACTACTACGGAAACGATGACCTACTACGACGACAACTACGACTACGACTGCGACTACGACTACCACCACCACCACTACCACCACCACTATCACCACCACGACCACCACCACCACCACCACCACCACCACCACCGCATCCGCCTCTGCCACTGCCACTACACTAGGACTACTACTCCTCCTCCTCCTCCTACTCCTCCTCCTGCTGCTACGACTCCTCCTTCTTAGCATTCTTCTCCAGGAACGACACAGCACAAGGATCAAGAGAATCTCCACAGTCATACAATATGACATACAAGTCATGTAATGCTCTCTACTAGCCCAAATGCACTATTAGAGCCTATAAGATATTATCATACATTTTCCCTTAAATATACGGTGATAGAGGATCTCCAAAGGTCCTTGTCGCCACTCCCTGCCAGGCAGGAGAGCACGCAGTGGCGAGCGCTCACTGCTGAGAGGGAGACGCAAACATCACAACCTCAGACAGCTTGAGCTGGGTTTAGGGTTTCGGGTTTAGGGATGTTTAGTAAGGGACGTTTAGGGTGTAGGGTATCGGTGCAGAAGGTTTCGGGCGTGGACTTGGGGTGTACAGCCACGAGACCCACACAGGCTGAGACATGGCTACTAAGAAAATGGATTCGGGCTTCGGGGAACACTTGGCAGCCAGGGGGTGAAGACACAATGAGGCCGAGGGATCCATCCCCAGATGTAAAGCACGAACAACAGCCAAAACCTAAACCCTGAACCCTAAACCCTAAGCCCAAACAAATTTCGACATCGAGCACTACACGGGCTGACATGCCAGGCGCCTACCTACTGATTAAACCTGGGTGACGGCAGCCGTGGCCAAGACACCACGTAAAAACAAGCATGGCAAGATGACCATGATGATGATGGTGGCGATGATGATGGCGATGATGATGATGATGGCGATGATGATGATGATGATGATGATGACGATGATGACGATGATGACGATGATGATGGCGGTGATGATGATGATGATGATGATTATGATGATGATGACGACATACAAGTAATGCACAAGGTCATCGCACCAGTACCTGTAGTCTTTGTGGTTCTCGCCTCTGCCCGGATTCAAAAGGAAACAGCTGCAACAAAGGCGGATGCAGCCCAGCTGCTAGGATGACGACCCACCTCAGCTGCAGTGCTAGGATTCCTGTAGCTATATCAATATCGCAGGGGCTGGAGCATCCCGTATTGACACGTGGTTGACTCGGCTTGGTCCATTCCATACGTTTGCGACTGATGTCTGTGCACTTCCATTGTCTGTCCTTAATGGCGCGAAGCTTGTAACTCCTCTTACAAGAAGTATAAACAACTGTGTGTGCATACGAATCTTCTTTGCAACAGAACCTGCTTCCCAAACCGGGAGGCACCCATACCCTGAAAAGGTTGAGGCCACGAAGGACAGCTGCTTGTCTCTCCGAGAATTTGCATCTCTGCGTGTGGCAGCAGTGTCTTGGACATTTCTGCTACAAGCTCCGACCTCAACAAGCCTAAAAACCTGGCACTTGCTGGATGGCGTACTGGAAGAGCTCGATTGGTTTAGGGCTGAAAGTTGAACATTCCGTCTGCTGACTTTTGGAACCAACAAGAACCGCAAGACCAGCACTCCCCGGAGGAAACTGTTGGAAGCTCTGGGTCAAGGGTGGACACGATTGAGAGTGTCGCCTGAGCTCGATGGTGGGGTAGCACTGCCATCATTCCGTCTTGATGACTGGTCTCGTTTCTAGTGCGGCCCCGTTTCTATCTTAGTACCGTAGTTGATACCGATTTCAGTCTCCATTGTATTTCCTTTTTCTTGCCTTAGCCCACTCTACACTAAGGATCTTAAAGGGTGATTTAACCCCAAAAAGGAGCCACAATGGGGACCATAGGTAGCACTTAAATCGTACTGACGTACTGAATACAAACCCGCTGATCGTGTCTGACAGGTCGCGGTGAGCCCGCCCCCGCGGGGCACCAAGGCAATCCGTAGCCCTGCCTTCCGGCTCTGGCTCAGGCTGAGGCTTTGGGGTTTCGGGCTTGGGTTTAGGGTTTAGGTTTAGGTTTAGGGTTAGGGGTTTAGGGTTTACGGGTTGAGGGTTGAGGGCTTTGGGGGCTGAGGGTTGAGGGTTTAGGGCTTTAACCTCGCATCCCTCTGGGCTAGAACACGCTGGACTAGGAGCCTAAGCCTGAACACTTCACACATCCGCAGACCCCGACACCTCAGATAGATCGAGTCGGAAAGAAAGGGAAAAGGTTGTAGCAGCGGAGTTCATAGCGTATTTCATATTTCTGTAAGGATTTCATAGCATATTTCTGCAGGCAGGATCATGGCACACTTCTGCAGGCACTATGACGTTAGGCAGTACTTGTGATTTACTGGGTTTGGATGCTTGAATGTGCTGGGGGCTTGAGATGTAGCAGGGACAAGCATCAGAATGTGCTCGAACGAGCACAGTCGTCATCATCGAAGTCACCATCATCATCATCATCGTCACCATCATAACAAGCATCATCCCCAGCTGCATCATCTCGCGTCCTCCTCGTTTCGTCATCGTCATTGCGCCGTGATCGTTGGAATGACGCGACAGCCTCGTCGATGAGTTCCCAGCGTTTGACCAACTCTTCCTGGAGCGGCGGGTTGAGGTTGTAAGATTTCGGCTCCCAGCCCGAGTCACAGCTTCTGCCATTGAGCCCTAAGTACCTCAACCGTGCTCGCTCTGAAAAGCCTTTGCTCGTTGGGTCATCGAGCAAGGACTAGCGGAACTTCTCGACATATGAGATCGTGATTTTTCCTATATGATCTTGGGCCTCTTGGGTATATCACAAAAGCGCATCTAGTCACTGTAAGGAGAGACTATGCCATCCAGAGCTCTTTCCTACCACAGAAAACATGTGTCAAACCACCGTACAAGACCCTTACAATAACCCAAAATACCCTGTAAAGTCCTACAACCTCCGCTTGGTCCTCGTGGTCATCACACTCATCGCTCTCCTCGGCTTCCTCATGCTCTCTCCTGGAGACGTCCCCAGTCGCCAAAGATCCGGGTCTTACAAGGTTTCGCTGTCTTTTAATGGGTGGGCTTAACAGCCTTAGAAGGGCTACACAGAGGCTTTATGCAGACTTCTGCGGCCTTTGTAAAGGTTTGGGAAGATTTATAAGTTCGCAGGGTTCGCATTCGGATCTTAAGCAACATACGAAGTCGCGGGACAATTTTTCAATACAGGGACTGGGCTCATGCACTTCGAGGAGCGGGGCACTCACCACGGCAGATTACGCCCAGGCTCTCTCCATTAGGGTTTAGGGTTTAGGGTTTGGGGTCCATAGTGGGCCTCCACTACTGTTACGACCTGGTTACATCGAATGGCGCCTTCCAAGTTCAGCTAGAAAGAATTCTTGTCAGACGTCCAAGGACCCTAAGCCCCTAACCCCTAAACCCCTAAACCCCTAAACCCTAAAGCCCTAAACCCCTAAACCCTAAACCCCTAAACCCCTAAACCCTAACCCCCTAAACCCCCTATGAACCTAAACCCTAAACCCCTAAACCCCTAAGCCCGAAACCCCGAAACTCCTCGAGGCCCCAAAACCCCTTAATTAAGGAATGTACCTTACAGTATAATGTTTTAGGGGTTTAGGGGTTTAGGGTTTAGGGTTTAGGGTTTAGGGTTTAGGGTTTAGGGTTTAGGGTAATAGGACCCCGAATATGATTCATACCATATTCTTCAATTAAGCGGGTTTTATTTTGGAGACTCTAGCTAGACCCAGGAGTAACCTAGGAATGAAAAGGGTGCCCTTTTTGGTTTTAAGGGGATTATAAGGGAGCCCCAACCCTAAAAAAGGAAATAAGGGCCTACTCCGGGTCCTAGCTAGAAACTTCCAGGGCCCCCAACCTTTCTGGAGAAGGAGCTCTGGGCTGCCAGTACCCGACACGTCGGTTCGGCAGATGCGAGGCGTTGCCTCGGCTCAGGGAGGAGTGAGGGTTCACGATTTGGGGTATAGGGTTTGGGGCTTGGGGTTTAGGGTTTAGGGTTTAGGGTTTAGGGTTTAGGGTTTAGGGTTTAGGGTTTAGGGTTTAAGGTTTAGGGTTTAGGGTTCAGGAATGGTGTTTGGGGTTTTGGGGTAAGATCAGCGCTTGAGGGTTCACCTGACTGCCGGTCGGATCAGATCATAGTCGACGTGCGCCCAGAGACCCCAAGAGCAGTACATACCGGAGTCTCTAGACCCACCACTGCACCTTCTGAAGACCAGCTGAGCTTTATCTTTCGAAAAGCGTCGTAATCTCCAGACGTACACCCCTCACCTCTTAAGCCTGTCTTCGAAGACAAAACCCCAATCCTTTGCTCTACTGCATCTTCACTTGTCTTATACTTCCCGATGTTGCAAACCTCGTTTTGACGGATCTTAGCCAAACACAACGTACGCCCAAAAACTGCCTGCGGCATTCGGGGCATAGTTGCGAGCTCCATATACAGCTCCACAAGGCATAAGCCATGCAAAACAAAAAACGAAAAACACTTTGAGCCCTGCATAAAGCTCTACACGAAAGATCCCTCCCTTTCTGGAGCCCTAAAGCACAATAAACCCCTTAATAAGCCCTACACCGCCCTACACCCTTGACCCTTAACCCGGAACCCTAAACACAACCCTTAATCCTTTACCTTTAAAACGTTAAACCCTAAACTCTGAACCTCCCCAAGCGCGCCCATGGTCAAAGACCTTCGGTCCCTAAGATGCCCAGCAACCTAGGAATAAAAAGAGCTTCTTTCCTGTTCGTCTAGGGTAGTATAGTCAAGAACCTACGACTCCAAAAAGGGCAGAAAGGCCCACTCCCTCATATAGGAGCCTTAACAGTTTTGGAATAGGGCTTTGGGGTATATTATACTATAACTATAAGAAGGGACCCCCCCCAAAAAAAATAGTATTGGTAATTTTTGAGGCCCCTNNTTGAAACCCTAAACCCTACAAACCCTCCAGGAAGACAGGCCGCTCACGAGCTGCACTCCGGGCATGGGGGCTTCCAGGCCCAAGGCGGACAAGTCGTGGCCTTGGTGGGTTTAGGGTTTAGGGT